AAATTTTATAGACAGTCTTAAAATCACAAATCCAAACTCACCTCAATACACATGGTCTAATAATAACTCAAAATCACGTATAGATCAAATTTGGATTTCACATAATTTTGCTCATGATCTTGCTCACACAAAAACTGTTGATTATACATCAATTTTTTCAACAGACCATAAATTAATATGGTGTGATTTAATTAGGGATGTTAAACAGTCCCAAAAGACCAGCGGACTGATGGTCTGTCCTTGGACTGGACTAGTCTTTTCTCAAAAAAGACCAACTGGTAGTCTTGCAGTCTTTATCATGTGAAAATGGTCCTAAAATGGTCTTTTTTCAAATAGGGACTGAAGTTTAAACTGGTCCATCTTGGTCCGGTCTTGGAACATTTCTATAGTGAAATTGTTACACTAGATTGATATGTTATTGGTCCTAAAACGGTCTTTTTTCAAATAGGGACTGAAGTTTAAACCGGTCCGTCTTGGTCCGGTCTTGGACCATTTCTATAGCGAAATTGTTACACTAGATTGATATGTTATCAGTCCTAAAATGGTCTTTTTTATAACCGTCTTTAAAAAAAAAAAAAAAATTATACACTCTCTCTTTATTGAAAATTTATGATTTTACGACTTGTAATTTTTTTTCCCTTTACTTCCAAATTTATGTTAACATTAATTTACTATAGTGCAGGACACCTAGTCCCACAACTTTTTATTGGTCTTGTATATCCTTTAGTATACCAGAAATGGAAATGTAACACCAAAAAAACAAAACATGATTTTGAAGCTAAGACCTTTCTCCACAAAGCTACGATTTCATTTTGTTGATATGTCACATTACCATGGAGAGATCAAGCCTCAAAGTTGCACAAGTTTACTATGTTAAGCCCAAAACTGTCGCGTTACACGCGATTTATATATATATAAAAATGAACAAATTGAAACAAAATAAAAGTTTTTGAATTTTTAGTTGATGATCACATCCATATTAGGTAACCCAATGTTTATTAGCATAGTTAAAAATCTTGTGATTGGTTGATCAATATTTTTGTTTCACGTAATTGATAATCCAATAAAAATTAGCCAAATATTTTTAAAATTTTGTTATTTATAAATTTATTAATTCATTTATTTATTAATTTATTTATTTATTAATTTATTAATTCATTAATTTATTAAATATTAATTTATTAATTTATTAATTCATTAATTTATTAATTTATTAATTTATTAATTTATTAATTCATTAATTTATTAATTTATTTATTTATTAATTTATTAATTTAATTTATTAATTATTTTTTTGAATCAAATTAAATTAAAGTTGAACTATATTATGAATTGGAAGTCTGTGAATGTTTGTGAGGTCATAAAATATTTGCTTATTCTCTGCAAAGGCTTTTAGTAGGTGTATAAATAATAAATTAGATCAATTTTATTACATATAATTATAAATTTTTGAAATATATATACCTAATATCCTTTTTTGCAATTGATTATCAATTCCAGGTAGAGATATAATATGGTCTGCATCTTCAAAGTCTGGATTTGTGTTTTGTATATTATTTTCAGAAAATAATTCATTATTTATATCCTCTTCCATGTGCAATCTTTGATTGTAAGAGCTTGTTAACTCATCAATTGCTTTAGATAAATACATGAAACAATAATGGCACCTTCTGTTAATTATCTCGAAGCAACTTTCATGATAGGCATGACCACAGACTAACACATGACTACTTTCTATTGACCTATTAGTACATTCAATTCTATCACAAAAATTCTCTTGACTTGGTGGCACTGGTGTATGAAAACCAAGTGGTAAGGCTCCAATAGGAAATCCTGATTTAAGATTTTGAAAATAGTAATAGGGCTTTTTTATTCTTTTTCCTTCCATTCTTTCCTCAACTAATCCATTGTTTTCCAAACTTCATCAAAAAAGTCTAACAAGAACAAGGCAGTTTTCTTAACCAAAAAATCTAAATCCTTTTTACTGTATGGATAATTTTGCTTTGGTGAGAAGGCAGCTCCAAGAGAATTCTCATGATGAAAATGGTCTATAAAAAGTGCATCACGTCTCAATGATTTTGCAGTAGATACCTTTGCAGTAGTCTGCCTTCTCAATAGGCTGTGGAAATTTTCCACTGGGTATTCATCAAATATATTTAGGTTGTTCTTGAGTGTGTCAATTACAGGATGTTCTATCTGCATCCAATAATGAATATCTGATAAAAAGGCCAGTGTAATTTTATCATAATTATGACAGTGGAAACGTTTCATTACAGTCCACAAGCGAAATACTGTGCTGACATACTCTTGGAAGTGATTCTGTCGAAAAAGGATATTATATATATCCAAAGTTGCAGGCACCAAATTATCTAATAGATCAAAAAATGTTACATATTGTGGAGTTTTTGAGAATTTGAATTTTTCAACCACAAATCTTCTAATTCCCAGCCTGCATGAGCAAGATACATCAATGTATCTATTCTCCAAGGTTTTGGCTTTGCAGCTAATTTATGTTTCTTGTTAAAAATACTTCTATATAATTGATCAAAAAATGGCCAGAAGGTCAAAAAAACAGATTCTTTTGTATTTAGAGCAAGATGTAGTGGACCAAGGAAAGGAAACAAATGAGTAATTTTTTCTGGAATGCTTGTTTCATTTTCATTTTTTAGTTTTTTAACAATAGCTCGACAAATATATAGTTGGCCAGGAAAATCAGCTGGAATAAATATCACATTATTATACAAGTATACTTGTATTTCAGGTAACCCAATAAATGTTTTTATTGCTTGCAGATAATCATTGGTATTTTTTAAATTCAATTCAATGAGGTCAACTAGTTTTGTCATGGTGAATTTTCTTCTGTATTTTTCATAAACATCTGGATCATATGAATGCACAGTCAAAGATTCTATAAGCTCATAGGCATGTTTATAATACTTTGAATAAATTGCCAATTAATTTTTTCACTATTGTAACTATTAACAAATGAAATCATATATTTTTCCCAAAGAGCATTTTTAAGAATTAAAGCATCAACACCATTATGATTATGAATTGGATGATTATTATTTGAATAATATGGAATAGGAGCTACATTTTTATTGTTAAATAAAATTGTTGCCATATGAGCAATTTGTGATATAGAAGTTACACTTGGCACTCTTGTACTGTGTAAATTATGATAGTCATCAATGTTGACAATTAATAGATTCTGAAAAAATTTCTTAATATAACTCTGGACAGTCAATTTATGTTCCTTTACTATTTGTTCTAATTTATTATATACTGTTTGATAAGTAGAACTAATCCCATATTAGCCAGTGTGTTTATACCTTTAGAAGATGTGCCAGCTCCTGACATATGTAAACCAACTGCATTTTTAATACTGCTAAATTGTTTATTTCTAAGTGCAACCATCTGGTAGCAAAGCAACATTACTTTTTGTTTTAGCTTTTTTTAGTTTCTTTATTTTTTCTATCAGGATTCATAGCTTCATATAACATATCAAAAAACCCCTTGAGTTTTGGCTCATCTCTTTCAATTAACTCTATAAATTGTTTGGCCTCAAAAATCGGTTTGTTACCATCTTTTTGGTACTTAAAAAGCACATCATTCATGAGTGCAATTTGGTTACCAAAAAATTGAAAAAATTGACTAGATTCTATTAAATTTATGATACATTCAAAAACCAAATATATTTATTGGATGCAATTATGAAGTATAAAAATAACCACCATATATTTTTAAATTTTATAATTATTACCTTTTTCATTTGGCTCAACCATATATTTATCTAGATCAGCTTCTAATTTGTTTATTTTTTTTTCTAATTGTTCAACAGACATAGCTTTGTTATAAAGTTCCTGATAGACTTCTTGTGTTAAACAAACTTTTTTTGGATTTCTTCCAGTATGGTGAAAAGATCTATCATTGTCCTTTTGTTTTACTGATAATTGAGGCTTACCACGACTATAAGTAACTAAATCATTATAATGTTTTTTGCATAATTGGTCATTAATCTGTAATTTTATATTTATATTCTGAATTACTGGGCTATTACATGTTGCTTTTATTGAATTAGTAGTAAGTCTTCTATATTCAATTTTAGGAACATTTTGACCACATACTACACAAGGGCCAGTATTTTTTTTACCTATACCTTTGGTCATTTCAATAATAAAGAATAAGAAAATTCAGTTAAAAGATTATTTTATTTATTTTTTTGAAAAAAAAAAATATTGTAAAAAAGTAATAAAATTTTTAGTTTATGTTTTCATGTTAAACTGTCGATCATTTGCATCATTTTGAGCAAAATTTAAAGCAATCTTTTCAACTATTAAAAGTCCAAACTAAATTCCGCTCAGGAAAAACTATTTTCTGCTCAGAAAAGAACTATATTATTAGTATCATCATACAAAATTTGAGGTGGTGTAAATAAGTGGTGGTATACCATTTTTCTAAGTGGGTACTTTTTCGATTTTTACAATACTCTTCACATATAAATTGTTGATCATCTCTGTTGTTTTGAATAAGCTTGATCAACAAAAAAATATACAAAAATAGATTTTTAACTATGCTATGTTTATTCTTATTGCCGATTTTACTATTTATGGAATGACTAGGAAATATCACATGACAAAACAATTTTTATTGCA